ATATATATATATATATATATATATATATATATATATTACCAAGCCCTTCTCTTCAAACTTCTGGAAGTCCAGTTGAAGCCATGCAAATCTTTAACTTCTTAGTGGTAACCACATTGGTCAACATACTAGTTAGATTCTTCATCCCAAGGATTTCATTCCAGTTTAGAGTTCCTTTATTGATTAAATCTCAAATGAAATGGTACCTCATTTGAATGTGTTTTGTTCAAATGTGAAACACTTGAGTATTTGCTAAGTGGACTGCACTCTAGTTGTTACAATGCAATACACAATCCTCTTATTGAATTCAAAGTTCAGATAAAAAAAATTCAACCATATGAGCACTTTGATAGCTTCTGCAAGTGCCATGTATTTTGGTTATGTGGTTGAAAGAGCAACACTCTTTTGTAAACTTGACATCCAGGTAACTGTTGTACCTCCAATTGTGAACACGTAACCTGTTATGCTCTTTCCTGAATCTGCATATCCTCCTAAGTCGGCATCAACGAACCCTTCTAAGACTACTCCTTTCCTTTTGAAAACATAAGAAAACTTAGTTGTTATTTTTAAGTAGCATAGCAGCCATTTCATTCCTTCTTAATGTTATTTCGAAGACTACTCCTTTTCTTCTGAAAATATCAGAAAACTTAGCCATGTGTTCTCTATATTCTTTCATCTTTGGGGATTGCTTCTTTGTGAGTCTCAAATGACTCCCCAATATTGTACTTTGTGCTTTTGCATCTTCTACATTGATTTCTAAAACTTTCTTTACGTACTTGGTTTGTGAAAGTTTTGTTGCACTAGTAACTCTATACATGGCTATGCTCACGCCTAATATTTATGTAGTAGCCCTTAAGTCCTTCATCTCAAACTTGTTGGCCTGCTGCTTCTTTAGCTTATTGATCTTGTGCATGTTGGATCCAACAATCACATCATCAACATATAATAATAAGATAATGTAAAAGGATTCGAATTCCTTCAAATAACAACAATGATCCATCTCACATCTGTTGTACCTATTACTTTGAATGAAACTATCAAACTTCAAGTACCACTACCTTGGAGCCTACTTCAAACCACACAAAATTTTCCTTAGTTTGCAAACCAGATTTTCTTTGACAACCTTGGGAAAACCTTCTGGTTGTAACATGTAGTTTTATTCTTCATGGTCGCCAAGTAGAAAAGATTTTTTCACATTTAGGTACTCTAGATGAAGATCTTCAGAGGACACAATTCCCAAAACCATTCTAATTGTAGCCATCTCACAACTTGTGAAAATATCTCATTATAATCAACCCCTTTCTTTTGCAGATGGTAGGAGCTTCAACTTCTTAACCTTCTTTCTTTGAACTACTATCATCCATACTCCCACTATCTCTAGTTTCATCAGAGCTTCCACTACTTCCTGAACTTTCACCTATCTTTGGAGTACTGGCAGGTTTTATAATGTCATCATCTGAGGGTTCTTCCAACTAAACTTGTTCTTTCTTTTATGGTTGTTTGTTACTGCTTAAGATCTTAGAAAGTTCATCCTTATATAGTGAATTCTCATTGAACACCACATCTCAACCTTTGATAAGCCTTTTGTGCTTGTTTTCCCAAAAGTAGTATTCCATGTCATCAAATCCATAACCTATAAAGGTGCACTTCCTTGCCTCCGCCTCTAACTTGTCTCTCCTCGAGTCTTTAAATACTATATATGAGACACAACCAAAGACCTTCATATGTTTGAATGAAACCTCATGACCTTTACCTTCTTCATATGAAATCTTGAACCCTATTGGGACTAAGGGTTTTCTATTGATTAAGTATGCAACTGTGTTAACTGTATCTTCCCAGAACATCTATGGTAAGTCTACATGCAATATCATGCTCTCTCTCTCGCTCTTTAATTCAATGTTATGTACATCCTCTCAGCTAATCCGTTCTGCTAAGGTGTTTCTGGAGCAATATTTTATATCTTGAATCCATGCTCAACACAGAACTCAACAAATTTGTTGCTACTATATTCGCCCCCAATACCAGATCAGAAAACACTTGGTTTCATTTTCCAAATTCGCTTTCCATTTCTTGAAAGCACTAAAAACTTCAAACTTATGCTTCAAGAAATAAACCCAAACTTTCCTCGTGTTGTCATTGATGAAAGTAGCATAATATTAGGATCCTCCTACAGAAGCAAAGGAGGTGAGACCATAAACATCTAAATGAAAAAGCTCCAATTTCCCTGTCTTGTGTGGATGTCCCATATTTGCAAAGTTGTTCTTCTTCTATTTACCAAGAACACACAGATCATAGAAATCCGCTGTCTCGTTCTTCAGATCTAGAAGTCTTCCTTTGGAGGCAAGCATCTTCATTCCATTATCACTCATACGCCTAAGTCTTTGGAGCCATAGAGTGGATGTACCAACCTCTTCAACAGCATGTGCCTCATTATCAGAAACTTCCACCGTGTAAAGTGTACCCTGCTTCTAACTTGTGGCAACCACCAAGTTTCTCTTTGTCACATTCCATTAATGTTCACCAAAAGTGACATGGTGACCTTCATCATCAAGTTGCACCAATGATATCAACATTTTTTTAAGTCTGAAATGAACTTGACATTCTTCAAAGTCCACTTCATACCCAAAGTAGTCTTGAGGACCACATCCCCAACACCTATAATATCAAGGATCTTGTTGTCTGCTAGTTTGACTTTCCCTTCGTACCACTTGAAATTATGTATTACGTCTTTGGAGTGACTGGCATGGAATGACGCACTAAAATCCATGATTCGGGATTCAATTGAGTTTTCAACTACACAAATAAGAGCATTTCCTTTATAGTCTGATGCAATGTTCAACTCATTCTTTCCTTTGTCTACAAGATGAATTGGACATTGATTCTTGAAGTGATCATTTTCTTTGTAGTTCCAACAGGTGATGTCCTTCTTGTTCTTCAATTCACCTTCCTTCTTGAACTTTGATCTTCCTCTATTCCTAATCCCTCTATTAGACTTCCTTCCTCTTTCCTTGGTACTAAGAGGACTATTAGAGGATTCTCTAGCACTTCGTTTGTGTATACCTTCACCAAGGATTAAATCGTGTATGCCTTCGAATGTTATCTTGGTACCTTCAACTGAGCTGCTAACTGTTGTCACTGTTCCCGACTAACTTTCTTGCAATGATGATAATAATAGCAATGTTTGGACTTCATCTTCAAATTTAATTTCAACTAATGTCAACCTTAACAGGCTTGAATTAAATTCATTAACATGATAAGTCACTAAGCCACCTTTCTGGAGCTATTACAACCACTCAAAAGTGTATCTCACTCTAAGCTCTCATAAAAATATAGCAATTTATAATGATAGGGTATGAGCCTATTTATAGGAAAGCATGAGAAATCCTAATTTTTATGGGTTAGGCCCATCCATAATTAGCCCATTTAGGGATGACCTAATTTCCAACAAATCACAGAATGCCATGTGGGCATTTCTAGAAATCTTCAACCTCATGAGTATTAACAAAAAAACATGATGGAGCATAATGGGCCATGATGGTGTATCACGAGCCACCATAGTGCATCATGATGGTGCACCTACCATCAAGATGACAAATCAACCATGTGGAGCATCCTCCTTGAGCATCTTCAACCTTCTGAGTAACAATGAACAATTCTAAGCATCCTAGTGAGTCTTGCTCCTAAATTGCGCACCAAGGAGGCATGATGGTGCACGACGAACCTTAGTTGCTCATTATGCTCCATAATGGCACATCTTCAACTTAAGTGACACATCCTTGCTTCTTTGTACATCAACAACACTTCAAAACTCCTATAACACAAAAAAGCATGTAATAGTGGTGGATCAAGCATCAAGGTGGGGCACATTGATCATAGGTGGCGCATCTTGTACACAAGGTAATACATCTTCATAATGGTGCACCATGATGCACGACACATCAATCATGCTCCATTCTCCTACTTGATGCTCCACTCCAACTCTAAGTGCTCTATGTTAGTCCTTGATGCTCTATTCCATCTCCATGTGCTCCCTTACAACTCCAAATGCTCCATTGGATTCTAAGTGCTCCATTAAAGTGCTTCATGTTGCACAAGACTTCATACCCCAACAGTGTGAGAATTTCTCTCCACCTTAGATTTTATTTACTCAAACCCTACCTTAAAATAAACTTTCATAAAAGTAAATTGATTGGATTTGATGTCATTTTGAACCATGTTAAGGAGTATACGACTATCATTCAGAGTACGACTTTAAGGTGCTTATTTTCGTATCTCATTCTTTTGGTTGGATCCAATATGAATGACATTTATATATGACATGGGGAAATTAGCAAATAACATTTCAAACTAATTCTTGGAATGCTAAAACACTTTTTATTGGAGGACGACTTGCCTTAATAAAGTATAGTGTTGAGAATTTTGGGCATCTATTATATATTATTGTTCAGAGTTCATGAGATTGTTATAACGTGTTGTTTGGTTCGCGAAATGTTGCTTAAGGAATTTGAATTGGAGATGGAAAAGGAATCTGTCTGGAATTTGAATCCAATTCCAGAATTGTTTGGTTGGTAGGAAATGGAATTGAAATTAATTCCAGATTATGTTTGGTTCGCAGGAAATGGAATTATAATTCATGTAAAATGACAGAATTGGCCTTTTTTCTGTTTTGCTTAATTTTACTTTGTTTTTTAAGTTATATGTAAACATATATTATATAAAATTTTAAAATAGTAAAATTTTAATTTATTGATTGAACATTCATGCAAACATATTAAGAAAATCATGTTAATAAACATCAAATGTAAAAGTCATTCCACTTCGCATCATAATAATATTACGAAGAAACATATCAATATTTCGATACATCCCTATCGAAGATACCAAAAACTTACAAATCCAAAATACCAATCAACATCCTAATAAATATCCCAAAAGAGCTTAAAAATCCAAAATACGAATTAACATCCTAATTAATAATAGTACCCTTCCAAAATGTATTAGACCTAAACTTCTCTATTGCATTCTTCAATTTGCCAGAAAATTTGTATGTTTATAGGATCACTTCTTATCTTAGTCAAAGCTTTTAACTTCTCAAATTGACTTAATGAATTCATCATTAAAATCTTTGGAGGGATCTTCTCACTCAGTTCGTTGATCTTCATGTCAAATTTAATACCTTGACTCAAGTCCTTTGATATTTCTTTAAGGCATTCAGTAACCAAACCAACTGCATTATAGAACACATCATCGATACACCGTATCCTCTTATTAGTGCGAACACATGGAGAAGTTTCCTCATTTTGCTCTGTTTTATTATGGCTAATTTCCTCAGATTCAAGGAAGTCATCATCCGACTCTTTCATTTCTTCTTTTAAGTTCACATCTTGCTCCATTTCAATGAAATCTCTAGCTCTATTTCCTTGATCTCAGTATTTTCCAAAAACAATGCAAAGATCTTCATAGTAAGGAAATGATTTGTGTTCCCATCTAGTCGCTTCTTTATGAACCTATTTACTAACATGATAATTTATATAGAAAACAAAATATTTCCATATAGTCGCTTCATTATAAACTATAAAAATACAAATGTCATAACATGATGTACCGGTAGGTACGCCTCCCAAACCAGATCCTCAGGAGTAACACAATGTTTTTCAGAATCATAACCAAACTCACTTGTGTTTGAACCGTTTACCATATCGTTGACACATTGCCAATCTCTCTTCATGATTTTTATCTTTGACTCAATATGTGGCGTACCTAAAATACCCGAGTTCGGAAGTGATTGTTTTAATGCTTGCTCAAGATGTTGCAAGTAACCCGACTTAAAACCATTATCCGCTTTAAATCCTCCAACATTTGTCATATTCACTAACTCCTTAACTAGCTTTGCTTCTTCATTGTTTGTCCATGTCTTATAATTCCTATTTTGACTTGTCATACCTATATAAAAATAACAAAAACCAATAGATGCGTATCACAACTAATTTTAGAAATTGAACAATCTTCCAACAAAACGATAAGCAAGAAACATTTTTTCCAACAAAGCAATAAGAAAGGAACAATTGTCCAACAAAACGTTAAGCAAGAAACAATTGTGCAACGTAACTAATAGACAACATGTCATTATGATCTTATTTCAATTGGTTAATACAAATTGTCCTTTAATATTCCCCATCTTCCCTTCAAAATGTCAAAACATCGTTCAATGACATTTATTGTTGATGAATGTTTCATGTTAAAGAATTCCTTTGTTGTAGCTGATTTTAAGTGATACATTTTCCCTCTATATGAGGCTAGAAAATCCTCTCCATTTGTATATCCTGCATCAACTAAATAATAACATGCAGATAAGATTTATAGTTAATAATGTTTTATAAATAATATTTATAGCTAAAAAAATCTAAATAAGATTTACATACCCGGTCTTGGAACTTCCAATCCATGTGGTCTAAAAGAGCATCCTGAAGAACTCTGCCATCTGCAGATGACCCCTCCAATCTCGGTAAGACGTAGATAAACTGCATATCTTAGGAACAAACCCGTAGAACGTTTGTTGCAATATTGTCATTCTTTCTTGTTCTATATCTAGGCTTTTCTTCGGTTGGAACTAGGCACTTTATATATGTTCCATCTAAAGCTCCTAAACAATTTTTAAACCATTTCCATCTTTGATCGGTAGAGTTATTGGGAACAGGTTCGGGTCTCTTAAGCAAAAGAGTATGCAATCGTATGAATGCATTACAAAGTCAATTAAAGTGCATACTAATCGTTTCTCCCGAACGACGAAAGCGACTTATGATGACCCACTTCTTAACATTATGAGCAAGAATATGTAGAAACATGGCAACTTGTTCATCAATATCCATATTCATACTTCGTTTTAGTCTTCCGAATGTTTCAAGCATATAACATAACTTTTTAAAGCACATCCGAGACATCCTAATTTGGGATATAGACATGGTGTCACTCTCATAAACTATTATGTAGTATTGGGTATCGATTTATATTTGAAGAAATCCGCTTAATACGATGTTTATCTATATGGTTTTTGAACATCATTAATAGGAGGAGTACAACAATGTGCAAAACCACGTTCCACCATTTCAAAATCAATGAAGTTTGTCTTTGTTTACCATTATATGTTGTTAAACTAGGTCGGGACATTTTCCTGTTCATAAAAATTCAGATCATATTCAGAGTGTAAACAACACCATTTAATTTTAACAGTTGCTGATATTAAAAGAAAAACAGATGAACAATTTGATTTTCACATTTGTTGCTATTACAAGCTGTTCTAATTGATTAATTAATAACACTTTGATTTTCAGGAAGATAAACAACATGATTTTCACATAAACAACACTTTTGAATAAGCATAGATATTCACAGAAACAACTAGATAATCGATATTACTGATAAAACTAAAAATGAACAAATTTGATTTTCACTGAAATCGATTTTAGGAAAACGAGAAGACAAGTTGAGTGTAGAATCAACATGAAACAAGTAGATACATGTTTTAGGAAATCGATTTTGACCGAATAACATTAGATAATCGATATTCCCGAAATCGACTTTTCAACAAGAAACAATGGGTAGAATCAACAGAAAACCACAACTTTGACAATGTTTTACGAGGAAGAGAGAGCGCCAGAGAGAGACAACAAGAGAAATCAAGATTACGAGTTGTATCAATACACATACCTGATGAAGAGATGGAGAACGAGTTGAGTTTGATGAAGCCTGCAATTTGATTTCGATGAAAAAATGGAGAAGACGAGCACACTATGATATCAGATGAGTCCGATTTTGAGGAAAACGTAGGATAGGTTTTTTGTTTTTAGAATGATTTTGTTAAAATAAAATGGGTATAATAGTAATATTTCACTTTCCTAGATGGTATGGAATTATTTCCATGAGTTTGTTGAAGGAATGTAGTTTCCAATGTATGAAAGAAGGTTTTTCTCATTTAGGATTCCTTTTCCTTTCTTAAGTTGAACCAAGCGCAGGAATTCAAGGGAATTAGAATCTTTTTCCCTCGAATTCCAATCATTTTTTACCAACCAAACGCACTCTAAATCTTTTGGAAGCTTTGTGAAGATGATTTCCCAGGGACCAGAGTTGTAAGAGAAATAGTTAGCTTAAATGTATTGGAAGGAAGTTATGGCTAACAACAAAGCATGTCATCTTGGTGTTGGAAGTTTAAGTTCTTTTAACCGTGCGTTAATTTTTAAGTGGGTTTGGAGATTTATAGAATACAACTCACTTTGGGTTAAACTAATCAATGTTATTCATCGGCAACATGGTAGCCAATGGTGTAGCTAGGATTTTGTGTTAGGGTATTTCAAATAATATACAAAATATGAACGAGTGATAAAATTATTCAAAAATAAAAAAATGTAACTATATATGTATTCTTAACTAAATTATTTATTTAAATTGCACACAATATTGTTTTAGATTATTAAAATAATTTAAAATAAAATCTAATCAACATACACAACAATTTATCCCCTTCAATTTCATGTTTTCAATGGAATAAGTCTTATCACAAACTAATTCATTTTATTTAACAAAAATATATATTGTACATACCATATATATATATATATATATATATATATATATATATATATATATATATATATATATATATATATAATCTTAATTTTGTGTGGGTGGACCAAGATCCACTCTTGCTTTATATTGGTTAAGCTCGTGATGTCTCGCTAGACTTCTAACATGAGTCGGTCCACCTCTTATAGGTCTTGGCATAATATTTTAAGAATTGTTGACCAACTAAGGAGTCTTGGTTTGGATATGTTGTTTTTTTTTTTTACTAAAGTGGGAAATGGGTTACTTGCCAAATTTTGCAATGATCCATGGTTTAGAGACGTCACTTTGAAAGAAAGGTTTCCCATAATATTTGTGTTGGATAATAGTAAAAAGTGTCTCACTAGTGAGTGTATTCGGTTGAAATTTAAATTTGTGCAGACTGCTTAGAGGAGGCGTTGCGCATGAACAATGGTAAACATTGGTCTTTATTGCACTCTTTTTTTAGATCAAACAGGCAAGTGGTAACGGAATTTAGATTCTTCGAGAGTTTATTATGTGCCCTATGATCGTGCATTTTTAGATGATGGTGTGTATCCTACGGAAAATCACCCTACTAGTTGGAACAATTTCATTCCTATCAAAATTAACATTATGGCTTATATGATGACTCTAGAACGTATGCCCACCGAATCAAATTTGGTGGATAAGGGTGTTGATATTGATTTTATGCTTTTATCCTAAATGCAACATTAACAACAAGACTCTAGACCTCCTAATCCTTTATCTTTATTTCCCTGATTCTATTTGGTTAGTCATATAATCAAGACCGATTTAAAGTCCCAGACAAAATAAAAAGGGATAATGACTTAGGAGGGTAATAACGTTTTCTGTTTATCCATTTTAGGTCCCTTACGTATTTTTTATGCGTATTACACCATTAAGGTTATTATAACCGTTTACAAATAGTCCTTTTAACAGGAAGAAGCCGGTAAAAGGATTATTTATAAACGGTTATAACAACCATAATGGTGTAATATATACAAAAAATACGTTGGGGACCTAATATGGACAAACGGGAAACGTTATTACCCTCCTAAGTCATTATCCCATTAAACTATAAATCCCTATAATAAATTTTTACTTTTTAAATAAGAAACTTATAGGTCTTGGGGTTGATAGTTTGAATGTTTTTAACCTCGGTCTTCTTTATAAATGGAAGTGGCGGTTTCTTAATGACAATGGAGCTCTTCGGGTTAAAATTATCAAATTTTGTCATGGGGAATGTGTTGGTTTTTCGGACGATTCGAGAATAGGAATTGGAGGGGGTGTTTGGCAAAAGATTGTAGGATCCATTAATCACTTTCATGAGAATGGCTGTATTCCTCCTAATTACATGTATAGAATGGTGGGGGATGAGACTCAAACGAGGTTCTAGAAGGATGTTTGGTGCTTAGATATTCCTCTTAAGGAGCGGTTCGGGAGGCTCTTTGCTTTGACCTTTAATCAAGATGCTCGAGTAGCACCAAACATCCTTCTAAAACGTTACCTCGTTTGAGTCTCATCCCCCACCACTCTATACATGTAATTAGAAGTAATACAACCATTCTCATGGAGGTGATTAATGGATCCTACAATCTTTTGCCAAACACCCCCTCCAATTCCTATTCTCGAATAGTTCGAAAAACCACTACCTTCCCCACGACAAAATTTGACAATTTCAACCCGAAGAGCTCCATTGTCATTAAGAAACCACCACTTCCATTTATAAAGAAGGTCGAGGTTAAAAACATCCAAACTACCAACCCCAAGGCCTATAAGTTTCTTATTTAAAAAGTAAAAATTTATTATATGAGTTTATAGTTTCATGGGATAATGACTTAGAAGGGTAATAACGTTTCCCGTTTGTCCATATTAGGTCCCCAACATATTTTTTGTGTATATTACACCACTAAGGTTGTTATAACCGTTTATAAATAATCCTTTTACCGGCTTTTTCCTGTTAAAAGGATTATTTGTAAACGGTTATAATAACCTTAATGGTGTAATACGCACAAAAAATACGTTAGAGACCTAAAATGAACAAACAGAAAACGTTATTATCCTCCTAAATCATTATCCCAATAAAAAAATATGAGACCTTTTTATGCCACTGTTTGTGACGGGTTAACACCAAATTATTTTCTTAAACTTATGTAAATAGATACATAAAAAAATGGGCCAAAATTTTTTTGAAGACCCTAGGCACTACAACAATCGGATCTGTGGAGACGACAATTTCAGACCCTATAGACAACAAGTCGTCGGCATAGGGTATGGCGACGACAAGTCGTCGGGAAAAAGTCGTCGGCATAAGTCTGTTAGGTCATCGGCATAGACGTCGTC